TTTTGATATTGGCATTTTTTTAAAAAATATATGAAAGCAGCCGTTAAGTGACAACTCCACAAATGTGCCAAGTTGTCTGTACAGATCTGGGAGGATCAAAACAAAGTAATCACACCAATCACCTCCGATGTGTGTGTATCGGGAGGCGGTGAGTCCTCCATCTGGACCCTGTGCCCTCCTGAGGCCCATTTCCAGCAGCTTCCTCTTAGGGCCTGCCGCCAGACGAAAACGGGCAGCATTAGTGCAGACCAGACTGACAACAGAGAAGAGAGAGGACACTGAAGCAACAGTCCATTATATAAATTTAGCTTTGCTTCAATGAAGCTACAGTATATGACATTTATATTCCATGAAAGCAACAAACAAAATATCGCAAATAAGCTTATTTACATTTTCCCAAATATGAAATAGAATTCTTCAGAAATATATTTCCTAAGGTCCTCGGGGTGAACGCAGTAGCTTTAAAGATGGCACAACATGGGAAAATAACCAGGACGTTACTTTTTCAGGAAAAACAGAAATATGACTATGTATTACCTGGCATAGTTGACAAGACACAATAGACTTGTCTCCAGTAGTTGTACCACAGCCAGTGGACCAGCCACTTCCATGAGAGGCACCTGAAGATATGATTACATGCAGCACTAGTTAGTCCCTCAGACTGTGACCTTTGAACCTCAGTTTAACCTTAAAGACTCATAGCTCACCCTGGCAAAGACCACAGTGCCTTCGGGGACGGAATGGAGCGTTACACCCGAGCAGTCGAGGCATCGCAGAAACTGGAAGAAGGCAGGGTCGGTGTCTGGAGGCATGACAGAGCGCAGGAACTCCACATCTGGATCCATGAACACAAAATGTTAACACAACCCTGTAACACTCTCCAGACTCACTTCTCTGTTTGTCCTCCTGTCTCACGCACCTACACTCACAGGAACAGAAGAGAAAAAAAAAAAATCACATCGTTTCCTGTAAATCAGTGGTGCGACTATAATGAAGGTTAGACTAAACATGTTGCACAAGTGTGGCACAGTGATCCTGTCTTAGCGCTGATTACTTTTCACCTGTGCAGCTGCTAAAGTTTTAAAAAGTGCATTAATTCAAGTATTGCACAGAAATTGGTGGTTTTACTTAACTGAGGATGTTATGCTACTTTAGACCATACTTTTGTGGTAGAGAAAATAGATTTCCTGTTTTTACTCAAGTACACGTTCCAACATATGTATAGAAGAAACATCATAGGTCCACCACTTTGAAGGCAGTGTGAAACAGTGCTCCTCTGCTGTGTACTACTGTGCAAACCTCATCGCTTTCAAACACTGAAACAGTCTTAAATCAAAGCGAGGGCAGCACATTAACATTAGTTACTGGGATAGGTAGCAACATCTAATGCCGTCATGTTATCTGATACTGATGCTGGACTGGCATATTTGTGTATCCAAAAGTGGTCCCACTCGGACTGACTGCTGTCACTCTCATACAGACAGACAGAGCACTAACACCTACGCAGTCAGTCTGAGGTAGATGTGCAGTGGGCTACAGATGATTTGCTTATATTCCTACATAAAACCAAGGTTGCAGAGCCCCTGTGTGCCTTTTGCGGTTAAATCGGTCCTGGAGTAGCAAAGCTGCTGCTGGTGGAACAAATAGTAACACGATCATACGATTAATGGTGGTATTCTTAACGGCTTTGGGGAAACTGGACTTTACGAACTTAAAGGAGCCCAGTTGCTTCTTGGGCTTCTGTAAGTTTTTACAAGTCACTACTTTCTCTTTTCCAGTTCTTAAGAAATAATACGTAGTATTGCGCAACCAGTTCTGTATGCTTACCAGAGCTCCACGGGAGAGAAAATTGACTGTCAGCGGATTAATAACGAGACTTTTATTATTTAATCTAGCGTTTATGTCCAGTTTGTAGTCAGTGACACTAACATGTAGTTAGTTAGTTAGTTAGTTGATCTCCTCACCTTCGTCTGCGAAGCGAAAGCTGCGCAGGAACAGCAGGCAGTCGTGCACCCCGGCGAACAGCGAGAAGCCTCCGCCGAACGGATTGTCCCTGAAGAAGAGCTCGAACACGGCGTGCTCGTCGTGGCGACCGGCCCGCCAGTACGCGTACGCCATGGTGAACTGGTACAAGTCGGTGAGCAGCGGGGGAACCCGCTCCCGGATACACCGCTCCATAACCCCGCTGCACGTGCTGCTGCTGGACGGCGCTGCCATGTTCTCCCAGCCCTGATGCCGAGACCTCTGGGACTTGCAGTTCTCCCACCGACTCCTTTACCCACTAAGGCAGAGACGGAGCGGGGCAGCTGGGAAATACAGCCACGGCTCACGTTGTTGCATTAAAGACTTTTCAGTTAGTCTCTTTGTTGGCGTACATTTATGGTCTAGTGATTCCCATTAGTGTCAGCCCGTGTCACGAGTCATGCGCTTAACCTAACGCAATTTTGGATCATGAAAATTGGATTTACTTTCAAAAAATCGCATCCATGTGGCCACCTGCTGTGAAGGAGCGAGATCCTTCAGCACGCAATGTAAAAAAAAAACATCATCTATGCATATATTGCAACTACAAAATTAGTCTTTATTTATAATGAGCCATGAAAATGTTGGAATATCTTATTTGATGATTTCTAATTTCTGACTAAATTTATTCCAAAATGTCAGCAAGCATCCTCTGGTTTTAACCTTATTCAAGATTCTTTATTTGTCA